CCTAACTGTGAAAGTGAATGGAAAATGACCTACTCATATCCTCACCCATCTGCTTCAATTCCTGCTTAAACTGAATATGCTTTTCAATCAGTAAGAGTTTTTCAATCTTAACACTGTTTAATTGTGTCATTTTAAAAAAGTTAACACCCCAGTTAAAAGCACCTACCAAGATTCTTTTCAAGATAAGGCAACAAAGTTGGCTCTAAAATAGTTTTCACGTCTCACGTGACATACACAAGCAGCCCTTGGTAGACTCATGTCAGAATTAAGTGCATACAGAAGGAACATTGTTTTCAAGTAACCTGGAAATGGAATTATTAGCAACTTTTACTTTAAAGAAATACTCAAGATGGACTACTCTACAACACAAAGGCAGATTTATGGTACAACATACAAGAATTAAATCTATCCTGTTCCAATGGGGTAAAAAAAAACCCAAAAAACAAAAAACGGCTCAGTTTATGAAAAAGGCCTTGGAATAATCCAATCCTAGTGACATCTTTATCTTGGATATGAAAGAGGAAATAATGTAAAAGCTATAAATAGAGATGAAGTTATTAAAAAAAGAAAGTCTTTCATTTAAACTTTGGAAATAAAAGGGAATGCAGACAGAAAATGGGCTGATTTTAGCCCATACAGGAATTTTCCATCACGGAATTAACAGTCCTTCATACTAAAGAATTAAAGACAGGAAACACATCTTAAGTTTTCTGCTTAGGTCTCTTCATTTCAATTATAAGCAGGCTTCAAAATTTGCCTTCTTTTCTAACTAAATGAGCTTCTCTAGGAAGCATGAGTAAAGCAAGTCTATATAACTTTAAACCTACCAAGATGGGAAACAAAAACATTCATACGATGAATTTTAAAAATAATTTAAAATGACACATTATACATGTTCCTTACAGCATAGACCACCAAACCAGAGCAAATATTGCCAACGGTCCAGTGACAATCACAGTCTTCATCTGTAGAAACACCAGTGCACATGGGTAACACGGAAGTCGGGCTGAGAGCTGGGTGCCATTAGAGCACATTTCCATCCTGACTTGTAACATCCTGTGGCCTCTGTGAAGCCCTCGTCCCACCAGGCCGAGTGCTGGGCTAAGAGGGTACAGGAACTTGATAATCAGGCATAGCACACGATGTGTTGCTGGGTTGCTCTTGATCACCTGGCTTTCAAAATCAAATTCACTTTCGAATCAGAACAAAATCGCCTTTAAATGAACTCTCATAAATAATCCATGAAATTTGGCTCCTCTCAACAGTACTGTGTCACTCTGGGAACACAAAGTGTTTCTTCAGTGGCTGCTTTGAAGCCATGAAATAACATTCAGAAATATATGTCTACACCTTAAAAAATGAAATACATCCACACACTTGCTGTGCAGAATTCTTGCTATAAGCAGCAACCTGTCAGCCATGTATTATGAAGTGGTTACACGAAAACTCGCTTCAGGATCTTCTTGCTTTTTGCATTTCTTCATAATACTGACTACACCATTAGCCAGGAAAACCACAGCGATGAGTGCAAAATAACCAGCGTAGATCAGAAACTAAAAGGGGAAGAAAGAGCAGTAATGTAAAGAATTTCAAGTCAGAATATGAGCTGTTTCATTCATATGGCAACAGTTTCAAAAAGTTCATGAAAAATGCATGATGAAAAAATTTCATTTACAAAATGTTCATAAAAGTTTCTGTTTTACATGGTTGCTGGAAAGGGTCAAGAGGTCATGAACGTACATGCTTATCAATGCAAATGTTGTAACACTGTTGTGTTTATTGCTGTTGCTTCTATTGTTATAACAGAGTCACAGTCTCTACTTCAAACTGTAGGTCAGTATAACAAGCCATCTTAGAAAACCAAGAACTTTTATTTTTTCCCAGAAGAGGGCAGTAGAAGGTCAACCATATTCTATTAAAGGATTACTTTTGGCAAGAATCTTCCCTATGCCATTTTTAAGGTGTCACTGTACAGTATATCAACACCTTCATCTCCTTCTTGTTCTTAAATAAGTTCTTAAATACTTATAAACTGGTTCAAAGGTACACTAAGACCGTGGCCTCGAAGCCCTGAGCCAGCTTCTGGTTATGTTTCTATAAGAAGTCTATTTGTTAATCACCAATTTCAGCACAACCCAGTTTTTCAAAAATCCTACTTTTCTACATGTTTAAACTCACCATTATATTAAAATGTGCAGCCATGTTTCCCTCAACTGTGACAATCTAGGGGACTTTCCCTAACCAAACTTGCACGATGACAGGCCCTTTCTCTCTCTCCTACTTTCCACCCCAAATTAGGTTTTAGGTTAGATGTTAGTTGAAATAACAATTCTGTCACACAATATTACTGTGTGACCCTAAAATAAGTCACTTAACACCACTCATTTTCTTGATGTCTAGTCCTAACAACTACCACACAAATTCTACATAAAGTACCTGGCATATATAAGGCACTCAGAACATTACCTTTGTTATTTCTCTTTTAGATCTTTGTTACAAATAAAGCTAATTACTGGTAATGTGTTAGGTCTTTGAGTCTGAAGAAAACTAACATGTAAGTATGGAATATTAGGTGGTATGTGTGAAGGGAATATGGAGGAGGGTCTCTGAGCTGGGCTGGGGCAGAGCAAGCCGACCTGCGTGCGAAATGCACAAAGGGACACACAGCTGTGCAGTTCCTGAATGGAAACAAGCATTCACGTCGTCTTTGGGTGTTTGTACAGGTGTTTTCTCAAATAGGTCATACGTTAAAAATCATCTTGCTATTCATCAACAACTCACTACCTTGGTATTTGGGTGAGGGATGTTTCAAATAAAGGGAGGACACTTGGAGAGCTGTGAAATGAAGCAGAGAATGTGGGATATGGGATCAAGTATTTCAGGCATTGAATTAAGAACAGAGGATGGATCAGGTGGTGGCTGGATCCCACATTGCTAACTGTATGGTTTGAGTCCTAGACCTGGTGGCTTGGAAAAAACTGCTGGGTATGTATGCATGTATGCCCAAAACCCTGAGAGGAGGGAGAAATGGAGAACAGTATGCAATATGACTATCCTGATGGAGGTACCTTCTCATTTTCTCGCTCTAGCAAGAAATATGCCCTCTGGCAAATTAAAGAAAGAAAGATTAAAAAAAAAATGCAAGAAATATGCCCTCTGGCAAATTAAAGAAAGATTAAAAAAAAAATGCGTAAGGAGCAGATGGGCTTGGTCTGGGGAAACGATGTTAGATGTTACCGCTCAGCTAGAATGGCCCCCCGGCAGATGGGCTTGGTCTGGGGAAACGATGTTACCGCTCAGCTAGAATGGCCCCCCCAGGCTGGCTGGATACACTCAGGAATGATCCCAATCAGGTAGAAAGGAAGTAACAATAGGGGTGTGGCTGAAGGGCAGAGGTTAACACCTTTGTTTTTACTTTACACCTGTCCATATTGCTTGGATTTGCTTTTATTAAGCATGCCCTATTTCAGTCACTCCAAACAAGTTATACTATCTTCAGTGACAAAGCGAGCTCTTACTTGCGTGGTAATTTCTAAGCCAAGGCCACTGGCATCTACCACAATCAGCGTGAGCAGAGTCTGCAGTGCTAGGGCAATGAATGTGTTCACCCCAAACACTAGGGCATAGCGCTCCATACTGAGGTTTGTGGCAATCTGAAAACTTTAAAAAGAAATACAAGAACCATGAATAGAGAAAAATTACTTTCTGGGTAGTTATAATTTTTACTTCAAAAGTGAAGAGTAGCCCCTTGAAAAATTACTTTCTGGGTAGTTATAATTTTACTTCAAAAGCCCCTTCCTTCTACTGTCAATTCCCTTCCCAACAAAGTGAAAAACATTTGTTGCTTAACGATGGAAACATCATGCACACCTGAAAACACTGGAAGCATACAAACAAGGGAATAAACAAATTTCATCTTATACTTCATGCAGAGAAAAACTGAAAATGCATAAAAAATACAATTCCACCCCCATTAGCTTCTTTGAACTAGAAATTTTAATTTATTGGTTTGTGAAGAAACCAAAGTTTATCTTGTCACAACTTTTCCTAATGTTTCTTTGAGCCAAAATACATACGTTGCTATCGTGATGAGTAACATATAGATGATTCTGAAGACAACATAGGATGCGTAGCACACCCAAATGTTACCCACAGTGTCCATGATGTACACTGCGGCAGCAATCAGGAGAGAAAACACAGACAGCGCCATTTCTCCCCAAGTTGACCAGGATATTTTTATAAAACCAACTGCAAACACAGCAACAGCACCTACAAACAAAAAGAGAAAGGTCATCTGGATACTGTACTAAACAGATACTATTCAACAAATTAAAAATTCAGCTTAGACTATTAAATTTTAAAATCTTTAAATTTATAAATAAGACAGTTCCAGGTTACAGAGGGCCTTTGAAACTTTGGCAGAGAATTTTAGACTTAATGGAATAAGTAACATGGAGCCACTGAAAAATGATGAGGCTAAATCAGTGCAGTTAGCAATGAAATGGAAAAGCATAGAGCCCAGACATATTGCTAAGGAAAGAACAACTGTGGCTGAAGCAGAGTAAGAGTCAAAAAGAACCAATGCTCCAGTATGGCACCATGCCAGGAAGAATCACCTCTCCTTCATACAGAAGAACAGTCTAGAAAGTGGCAAAAGGGCTTCTCTGTCCTTGGATAAAATAATGACGATAACAATAGCTAAAATATATGGAGAGGTGTGTTTTGAAAAATCATATGGGCCCGGCCATAGTACCATGCACTCGTTGACCCTGCTACTTTGCAGGCTGAGGCTACAAGGGAGGCCAGATTTGATTCCTGGCCTACCCTAAAAGCCAAGCATGGTGGTCTCAGCTATACAGGAGGCTGAGGCAAGTGGACTGCCACACAGTGAGTCCTGCCTTGAAAAAAAAAAAATCATGTAAAGTCTCCCAACAATCTTATGAGGTAGTTCAACACACTAGAAAGGAATAACCGAGTATAACAGTAAAAAACACAGCCTCTACAAGCACTCAACCTGAGCACGTACCATTTTCAAGTTTATTTCTTCCATGAGTAAGAGACACACACACAGGGACCAGCAGTTAGAGTAATGGCTATGTCGCTGGACTCCCATATAGTCGACCGCAGTTCAAGTCCTTGACCCGGTGGCTTAAAACTCACGCCAGGCGCGTGTGCATGTGTGCCCAAGATCCCAAAAGGAGAATGGAGGAGAAGGGAACTGAGGTGTGGCCATCCCCCCTGGGGGTGATTTCTCACTTTCTGTCTCTCTGTCTCTGTCTGTCTGGTGAGTGCACATGCCCTATAGCAAAAACCTCCCCCCTTCCCCTGAAACAAGGACACACACACATAGTATTCCATCAGGGCTTTGATGCCACGTCCCACTACAAGCCTCTGCCAGTCCTGGATCGTGGGCATCTGTGTGCCTGCACACTCAGGAGGGCCCCTGCATGAGAACCTGAGCATGGGTCCACCTTGTAGAGTAGCATACTTTACTGCTGCACCACCACCCAGCCATGAGTTCAAATCTTGACTTTACCACTTAGTCAACTATAGACGTTGGGCAAGTTACTAACCCACCTGTCCCAAGTTTCCACTGCAAAACAGGGATAATAATTGCACTCATCTCAGAATCTGTAAGAGCTGAATTAATATACATATCCTTAGAATAGTACCTAGCTAACATCAGATATTAGTTGTTCTGATTATAACTACTGCATACTGCTATCCAAAATTTCCTATCAGCTGACAAATACAGAGAGAACAGAAACTTGGATAAGAAAACAATTTGAAAAAAATTATGAGGTTTCCACAATGTTTATAAAGAATTCACATTTGTTAGTCACAATCCTCCATCTTTTGAGTATTCTAAGCTGTCCTCTTATATTATAAAACCAGAGCTTATTATAAAACCATAACTTTGAGGCTATTTCAAATCTGGGAGGAGAGAATAAATCTGATTATGTTGCCTTAACTACAGAGGAATTCTCCGCCCGCCATCATCCCCTGCACTTACCCAGTAAGGTAGAAACCGCCTCCACACCACCGTTATAGATAGCAGCATGGCGAGAAGGCATCACCTTCTCCCACAGGCCCTGTGCGTAGTTCACGACTTGAAAATAGCCACAAGTGGAGAGGGCCCACCACACAGACCAGCAGAGCAGAGGACGAGAGGAGTAGCACATCAAGAAGTCATCCCAGAGTACCTTCAACACGAGGAGGCGGTCTGGCTTGGGCTCCTACACCGACAAAAGGAATCAAAGCTCAAGCATCTAAGGGCAATTGTACAGAAACCAAGTTTACAGAATCAATTTAGAACTTAGCAACATTTTCTTTGGGAAACCCAACTGTTTATTTCACACATATATACACATAAATGTGTGTATATACACAGTTTACAGAATCAATTTAGAACTTAGCAACATTTTCTTTGGGAAACCCAACTGTTTATTTCACACATATATACACATAAATGTGTGTATATACACGTAAAGTTTACAGAATCAATTTAGAACTTAGCAACTTTTTCTTTGTGAAAACCAACTATTTTATACATATATACACATAAATGTGTGTATACACATGTATATAAACTTATTAGCAATTACATTTACTTCCATGGGAGGAAAAGTATGGTTTCATACCATTTTTGTTTTAAATGTAGTGTATTAGACAACTGTATGTAATCAGTCTAAGAAAGGATTCATTGTTTACAGAATGATGATAGGAAGATGGTCAACTGGCAAGCTTCAGCCAGAGAGAGATGGCATTCCACACCTCCCACCAATGGCAAGCAGCACAGAATAAGCCACTGACTAGCAACCCCATTTAACCACTATTCAGAGTCTGTTAGTGGGAACTCCTATCCTTTTAACTGAGAAATCTTAGAAAGAAATGAACCAAAACAGTTGCAGAAGTTCTCTCTGGGTATTATGGTTATTAGTGATTTTCATTCTTTCTTAAACTGTTTACATTACCCAAGATGTAAGCAACAGGAAATATTACCATCATAATAAAGCAACAAAACGACAGCATTTATAACTGAGTGAAGGAGGACACTACCTATGCACCATCCTACCACCATGCCAGAAGTGGGTCTGAGGTCCCAGACACCCGTGAGCTATCTCTGACTCCCACTGTATCAAAGATCTGATCTTTCAAAGGACACTGTAATTCCTGAGCCTTGCTTAGAATATGGGAAATTTTACTTCTGTGACTAAAACAGAAAGGAAAAATGAGTGAGATAAAGAGTATTACAAAACGCTGAGTAAAAACACAGACTTACAAAGCTACACGTAGATTATAATTTCATTTATTAAAAAATGTATATGTACATATATATATGAAAAGAGATGCTTGGAAAGAAGGTCACTACACTTTTAATAATTGTAACCTTTGGGTGGTGGTAGTTCCAGTGTGTTTTACTTTTTTATACAGTTTTCTGGAATGCTTGATTTAGAAAAGTAAGTATGAATTGTTTTATAAAATCAATACAGATTTGTTTTCCTCTTGAGATGATATATGTAATAGCTATATACAACAACAGGGGCTATTAAATAAATAAAGGGCATTTTCTTCCTAACTGCTAGAAAATCTTGCTGGACTGAGAACTGGGCCACTGTCATGGTTCCGCATTTCTCCTGCCATCGCTAAGCAACGTTGATACTCTTTAAGGACAATGGACTACCTGGCCCAGAAGAGGAGGATATCCTTGTACTGTCTAGCCCAGAGGGGATCCCTTCTGAATAACATCAGCACAGCTTTTCCAGGAACTCAGGTAAGAGTGTGAAGGTTAACCAAGATGGCAACTTGGAAAGAATTACTAATATCCAAAAAAAGCAAAATCAAAATAGGTTAAAGATATTCTACTTGATGGACTGACATATGCTAATCATCTAGAAGTAAAAAGCAAAACATGGTTGGTATCAGATGGATTTTCTGACACTCTTTTTAAAAGTTTTTATTACTACTATTTATACATTCGATCGCTATACATCATTTAGATTGTAAAGAGACTTTACCCAGCATGACACACACCTCAGTCCAGCCCCATTGAGAATACTATTTACATCCTCATCAACAGGTAATAAATCATATCTGTGTCCCACAAATGCCTTATCTATTTCTTCCTCAAATTTCCTTTCCTACACTCTTCCCCTCTCTTTCCACTTTGTCCCTAGTGTCCATAAAATTTTTCAATACTTTTGAGTCCTCCAGTCTTTCAGTCTGATTTTCTAACATTCTATATGAGAGTAAACCTTGTTAATTTTTAAAATTTGTTTATTTAATTTTATTTGTCATTATTTATTATGTTTTAATTTGACCAAAGAGATAGAGAGAGAAAGCAAGAGTAGGGGAAAGTGAAAAAACAAGCCACCAGGTCCAGGACTCAAACTGCAGATGGCCATGTGGGAGTCCAGTGCCTTAACCACCACACCACCTGCCACCCCCTGTGAATTTAAACAAATCAGAACAAGACAACTGTTAGTCCTATCTAATGCATCTACATTTGCTGAGAACAAGTGAGGGATCCCAAGGGCACTTCAAATTCGCAATTCTGCCTCAGTGTCCTGAGAAGCTAGGACTACAGGCACATGCCACTGCTCCTGGTTTGATTATTTATGTCTAATGATAATGGAATAGTAATAACAGTAGCTACAGTGTACAGAGCACCTATTATGTATACTCAATTGAAAGCTTTGTATTGCCTGGTTTAATACCTAGAAAAACTCTGAGGTAGATACATGAATGAGGAAGCTGTCTCACAGGATTAGAATTGAGAGCTTTTCTCAGGAAGTATTAGTGCTAGAGTTTGAATGTACTTCTCTTTCTTCAAGAACTACTACACCCTGCTGCTAGAAATAACACTACTGAACACCAGAGCAGCAGCATTAACGTTGCTACTATGACTGTTTTATAGAACTCAAACATGCATATACACAAAGAAGACTAATCGACAGTAAAAGATGTCAATCTATAAATGTAAGCATGGCAGCTGAAAACTAGTGATTTCAGGGAAAAAGAGAAATGAAGATTTTCTACTGATAACTCAGCCTCCAGCCTCCCAGTCTTGAGTGGAGAGGCAAAGGCAGACCTTCAGAAAAAGACTCCTCCATTGCTGCTGAGAACTAGTGATTTCAGGGAAAAAGAGAAATGAAGATTTTCTACTGATAATTCAGCCTCCAGCCCCCAGTCTCAAGGGGTAGGGAGCCCCTCTATCCTTCTCTCTGTCTGTCTCTGTCTCTCCCTGCCTCTCTGTCTCCTCACTTTTTGGTCATCTTTCCTTTTAAAATTTTTTTCAGGTAAAGTATTCTCTTGGCTTTCAGATCTTCCTTTATCTTGCTAATAATCCCCTTTCCCTTTCCCCTCTAGGAGAGGCAAGGGGCAGGACTTCAGAAGAAGACTCCTCCACTGCTGCTGATAACTAATGATTTCAGAGATTAAGAGAAAGGAAGATTTTCTACTGATAATTCAGCCTCCAGCCCCCAGTCTCAAGTGGTAGAGCGCTCCTCTATCCTGTCTCTGTCTTCTCATTTTTTTGTAATTTTTCCTTTAAAATTTTTTTTAAGGTATAGTATGCTCAAGGCTTTCAGACCTTCCTTTATCTTGCTAATAATCCCCTTTCTCCCTCCCCTCTAGAATTAGGACGAAATTAGGAAGAAACGCAGGATCCATCAGATGACTAGAAATCATTGCAGGGTCACAAGAAACATAGGAAAGCAAGAAAATACCTCTCCTCCAAGGGAAAAGAATAACTCTTCTTCATCCACAGACAGTTCAATGGAAATCATGGAAATGTCTGATAAAGAATTTAGAACATTCATAGTGACAAAGTTAACAAAGATGTAAAAGAAGAGAGACAATGAACTCCAGAAGAGACAGAAGAATAGAGCTGAGGAGTTCCAGGAGGTGAGGAAGTTTTTGCATGATCTGAAAGAGGAAATATATACCATAAAAAAGAATCAAACAGAATTGTTAGAGATGAAGGCTGTAATACAGGAAATCAAAGCCTCCCTTGAAAGTATTAAAAGTAGAATAGATCATACAGAAGATCGAATCTCATATGTAGAAAACAGAATCACTGGCCTAAAAAAATCCACCACAAAGACTGAGAAAAAAGTTCCCAAAAATGAGAATAACATACAAGAAATACTAGATACCATCAAACATCCGAATAACTGGAAATGTCCCATTGACATCTTCTCTTAAGAGCAAGAAAATGTCAGAGTGTTAGAGGCCTCGAAAAAATTAATGAGACAATAGTGAAGCAATCTTTTACAATATGCTGCATTTTCAGCACTGTTGATAAAACAGAGGACAATAATAGTGTTTTAGAAAACATAAAATACAACATTGTGTTGGAAAGAGATTCATAAGTCAAGTTACCTACAAAGGATATTCCATCAGGCTGACAGCGGATCTCTCATCAGAAATGAGGCGAGCAAGGAAAGAAAGGGAAAATACATTTGAAGTGTTGAGTGAAAAACAATTTCAACCAGGAATACTATATCCAGCAAGATTATCCTAAATATGGAAAGAGAAGACAAGAACATTCTCAGATAAACAAAACCTGAAAGAATTTATCAACACCAGACCAGCTCTCCAAGAAGTTCTGAAGGGAATGCTATCCCAGGAAAACTAAAGCCAGATACACAGAAGAGTTCTAAAACAACTAAGAAAATGGATAGCTTAATGGTAGAGACAAGTCCAGAGTTCAATGTTATCTTCCAGAATTTAAACAGAAAGATCCAATCACAACAGAAGTACATGAGTTTGAACTGGTGAAACAGTTTTGACTTTTGACTAAAACACAACTGACCTTCTATGCTGTTTTCCTGTGTTAAGGAGTTTTGTCTTCTCTTGAGCTGTGGACAGATCCATATACGTACTATTCGAACAGAATCCTAACCTGTTTCCTGGCTAAGTATTAAGCAAAGTTCTCTTAACATTTTTTGATTTTGATTTATTAAAGCTAAAATGAGGGACCAGCAGGTGGTGGGGTGGTTAAGGTGCTGGACACTCCCACATGGCCGACCAGGGTTCAAATCCTGAATCTGGTGGCTTGCTTTCTCACTTCTTGTCTCTCTCACCCTCACCCTCTGTCTCTCTCTGGTCAAACTAAAAAACAAATGAATGAATAAATAAAATAAATAATTTTTTAAAAAAGCTAAAATGAATTTTAAAAATACCTATTTAGTAACCACAGTAAGCTATACAGCTTCAACTATGTGCTATTTTATAGTATATTCATTCTACCCACAGAATTTTCATGCCTAAAGTCAACTTTCATTCATAGATATTGATATACATATATATAAATATATGTATGTATGTGTGTGTGTGTGTGTGTGTGTATACATATATATATATATGTATCAGCTGAATTTACTATTGAAAGTATTTAATTAAGGTATTTTGTGAATCAGTACAATGTGGGAAAGAATAAAGGAATGGAAAGCAACTGCAGATACCAGAGACAGGGTGGGAGGAAGATGGGAAATGGCAGCAGGTGAGAAATAGGAGGAAAATATATATATAACAAGAAATGGAGAATTACTTGTCGATGATAACATGTATAATTTAGCCATTGTATAGTGTATTCTGGCTAGAAAATCTCATTTTATATGCTGTGGTGATGTTCAGTGAAAGTATGTAAAATAAATTTTAAAAAATGAAAAAAAAATTAGGCATGGCTATATTAGGAGAATAATTTAGGTATTAATTATGTCAAGACCTGGGCTAAAGAAGTGGTTTAATTTGATCATATCTATTTTATTAAGTTTATTCATTTATTCTTCTGAAAGAGACAGAGAAACAGGCCATCCTCAACAGAGTCTCCATGCCATAATCCTCCCCCAGCTTCAGCCAGCCTGTATCTCCGTCACACGTGTAACTTGGTGTGTAGAAGGCAGTTTCAAGCTGTGAACCCAGGATTTTTCCATATGAGTGCAGTTGTGGGACAGCTCTGCCACCCTCTGACCCCTAATTTGTATCCTCTAATAAATGAACTAAAAATAAATTAGGCCCAGCTACAAGCCTAGTTTACACAGGAGGCCAGCTACGTTTTTGGGGAAAAAAAAAAAAAATCACTGTCACGCCACTGCCTGGGAGGCTGACACTCACATGGGAGACCTGGGTTTGCTTCCCGAGATGATCTAAACCTGCTTGGTGTGCTTACACAAGCCTATAATCTTGCCTACTGGGAGGTTATGGCAGGAAGAGTGGGATACAGCAAGACTGTGTTAAGAACACCTGTTGGGGGACCAGCAGTTGGCGTAATAGCTATGTTGCTGGACTCCATGTAGTCGACCACGACTCGAGTCCTGGATCCAGTGGCTGAAACTCATTTCCAGACACATGTGTGTGCATGCTTGTCCAAAATCCCGAGAGAATAAGGAAGGGATTGTGGTGTGGCCATCCTCCCTGGAGGGTGATTTCTCGCTTTCTGACTCTCTGTCCCTCTGCCCTATAGCCAAGATCCTGAGAGGAGAATGGAGGAAGAGGGATTGCAGCATGGCCATCCCCCCAGGAGGTGATTTCTCGCTTTCTGTCTCTCCATCTCTCTCTGTTATTCTGGTGAGCGCACACGCCCTATAGCAAAAACCTCTTAAAAAAAAAAAAAAAATCCTGTCTCAGGGCTGGCAGGGGGCGTGGTGGTTAAAGGTGCTAGACTCCTACATGGCCGAGCGCAGTTCAAGTCCTGGATCTGGTGGCTTGCTTTCTCACTTTTCCTCCCTCCCTCTCTCTCCCACTGTCTGTCTCTGGCTAAATTAAAATAAATAGTTAAATAAAAAAAATAATTCTTTAAAAAAAAAATAATACCTGTCTCTGTGTCCATGTTGGCCACAAAAATTAGAAAGTAAAGAAGAAAAAGTCACTGGCTTTAGTGACTCTTCCTCCTGCAATATCAACATTCTTTGCCTCATAACAATAGGTGCTCTCTGAAAAGGACTCAAAATACTCTAGCATAACTGGTGGACTCAGCTATCACTATGACTCCCCCTACTTCACTTTTCTTTTTGGTAAAAATCACAGATAAAACCACCCAGCTTACCTACCTGCTCTTCATTAATAACTACAATTATGATTTATGGTTTAATTATGGATTTTGTCAACTTAAAATGGCTCTATGATCCTCAATAAACATATTCTGACCTTCCTTCAAGCTTGCCAAAGAAAAGTGGCAGCATTTCTTAGGGCCAGTCAGTACAGCTGCCAAGCAGCACTGCCCGCCTACTAATGCATCAGTAGATTTAGGACATCACAGAACTGACTTGAATCTAACTTCAACCACCTAGTACCAGCATGAGGTTCCTGACATCACCACCACCTAGACAAAGACTTTAGGAAGCAACCTAGAGAGAGAAGAGGCTCTCATGCATGCTCTTAAATTATGTTTAAGAGAATTCCCTCTACCATGAGAGGCTTGATAGATGAATCCAGTTCCTTTTAAGATGCCCTCTGATTTTCCTATGACCTCCAGCTAGAATCATTTCAAACTCTAAAATGTATAATTCTTCAACATATAAAATACTGACATTCTGAGTATCTTAAGAAACAAATTTCAAGTTGGTCTAGAATAGTTTTTTAAATTGTAGTTCACAACTCACTAGTGGTTAATAAAAATTGATTTAGTAGACAGTGAACTAAATTGTATAAAAAACAGAATAGACTATCGAAAAAGTACTGTTAAACTTGCATTGTAAAACTTGTTTTTCTTATTCATAAAATACTTACATACCTATGTCTGGTTGCTATGCAAAATGTGTTTTTCACTATGTTTCTTATTCATACTCAAGAAAGGTTGAAACTTGCTGGTCTACAAAAATCTTTCAAACTAGGGCCAATATGTTAATATTTAAAAATGTGTGTGTGTATGTCTATGTGTATATAAATTTCATATAAATATATAAGCATCGATCTATCTAAATGTATGACTCTAAAGTCATTGTAAAACATTTGAAACAGATAAGAAAGGGTCCTACCGTTTTCTGCTATATGAGATCTACCAAATGATCATACCCCCTTCCCTTCCCTTCCCCATGAACTCTCTGTGGGTTCTCCAACATCACCGAACAACCTATGAGGAAAGTAGTACTGCATTGCTACTTGATCTCTGGCCATTCTGACTAAAGCTGCCCATAGGTACCTGGTAATCATGGTGAGTTTCATGATCAGGGTCACGCAGGCTCCAGAGGGTGACCCAGCCAGGCTCTTTGCGATGATAACTCAAAGTTCATCCAGTAACCAGAGGTAAAGAATGGTGGCAGGCAAAGGGAGTTATTTGCAATGAGGACATTAGATGCCATGTTGAAACAACTAGCTTAACTCCAGGTACACATGTCCCAAAGAAACTACAGTGTGGCTAGAATGAACCTCACCCCTAAGAGCTTATAATCTGGTAGAAAGAAAAATAACTTTTGTATATAAAAACTGAAGTGGGGTCTGCCTGGTGGTGCAGCTGTAACACACTGCAGTGAGGCTAGATCCATATGGAAGATCATGGGCTTGGTTTCCTGGGGGACCTGTATACTTTCCCATGATCCTGACTGGCTGGAAAAGCTGGGAGGTAGAGGCTGGGATTTTGGCATGAGCTCTTTGTTGAGAGTATTTGTTTTTCTCTCTCAAAAATGAATAAACTTAAAACCACACATAGAAAAACAAAGATGAGTGGCTGAAGGAGGCAATTAATCTTTCTGATATACAGAACTGATGAATTATTTTTATACCATACCTTTCCCTTTCAAGAAATAGCATCATAGTCATACTGTTTTTAAAAGTTTTTACCAGAGAGCATGTGGGGTTGCCAGAAAGATACAGAAAATGAGGGAGAAAGCACCTCCCATGGAGAATGGTCATTCTGCAATCCCTTCTCTTCTACTTCTCCAACCTGTCAGGATTTGGGGCACACATGCACACAAGCCTACTCTGTTTCCCAAAGTGCCAGGTCCAGGATTCGAGCTGTGAGTCAGTCATGTGGGACCTGGATGCCTTATCCATCAGGACATGGAGCTGGCCCAGTCACATTTTCAATATTTACTCTGTCATCTTAAAATATTCTTTTCCTCTGTATTATTACCTCACTTTGGCAAAGTATCATTTGGAAAATAACAGGTATCACTTCTACCACAGGAGAGGAAAATAACTTCCTATGCTTAAATTCTTTGGGCTTCAATTCAAGAACTAGAAATAGATATTAATCGTTTATTGGAACCATTTCATTTATTCACTTAGCTAATTGCTAAGTGCTTTCTTTATAGATCTAGCCCTGGCATAGAAAGATACAGATGATAAAGCCCTTGCAATCCAAGACATTTCTTGACATGAACAACATAATGTATACCAGTCTGACTCTGGCTGTCATTTACTCAAGGGGTAAATAAACTTGTCATCCCTGATAAAAATCAACCACATCTTGAATGAATGAACCAATGAATTAACTCGAGATAAAACTTAAAACCAAATACAAGGTCCAGCGACAGGTGGTTTCCTGTCTGGCTTTACTGTTTTCTATGTGTCTGGCCCCCACAGTAGCAAGCACAAAATACTGAAGGTTGAGCTTACCGGTTCCTCCACAGGAGGCTCCTCCACATTTAGAGGGATTTTTGACTCAATGTCTTCCCACCCAGGAAGGTGGTTAGAGGCTGGGATGTCAGTTGCAATGCCACCATTCTGTACCTTGATGCCATTTACTCCCTGACAGGCAGAAGAAACATGGTGAAAGAAGAGGCTCTTCTGAGGCATAGGCAAAAACCAGGCAACAGCAAAAGCCACAGATACACAGGTGAGGGAGATGACATTCAGGCTGAACAGGGACCAGTCTGCCACTGAGACGAGGATCTGCCCCAGTACAGAGCCCACTGTGAAGCCCACCAAGGTAGCACTTCGACAGTAACTTGTGACCTTCTGGTACATGCCCAGGTCAACCACGCTGTAGATGTAAGAGTAATAGGCAATTTCAGTGGCTGTGGCAATGCCATAGAAGAATTCCAAGAACTGGATGGCCAGAAGCCCCTGGGCATAGAGCAGCATGAACCATGTAACGATGAGGCTGAATCCTTGCAGCAGCACAACGGGTTTGTAACGGAGGTAGTCTGTGGCAAGGAACACAGGAAACAGCAGCACCAGGTAAGAGTAGGTCCAAACCGGGTAAATTTCATTGAAGACCTGGGAGAAAGAATGAAAAATTAGTCATCAAAGGACCTGGAATTTATCCTTATAAACTTGCCACCAATACCTCAAATGCCTCATCCTTATTAACCAAAAAACTTTGGCAACAACTAAGAAAACTGTTTGGAGCATCACTCCCTCTCCCCGTTCCCTGATATTTTTTCTAGCAAAATCCTTCCCATTCATCAAGGCCATGTTCAAAGACTTTCTTTTCTCAGAGGGCTTGGCTGAAGCTAATAAAATACATCACAGCATTCAAAGCTCTTTCTTTCTTTCTTTTTTTTCTTTTTTTGGAGAGGATTTTTTGTTTTTGTTTTTGCTATAGGGCATGTGCCCTCGCCAGACAGAGAAAGACAGAGAAACAGAAAGCGAGAAATCACCCCCCAGGGAGGATGGCCAATCCACAGTCCCTTCTCCTCCATTCTCCTCTCGGGATCTCGGGCACGCGTACACACGCGCCTGGTGAGTTTAAGCCACCGGTCCGGGACTTGAACTGCAGTCGACTACATGGGAGTCCAGCAACATAGCCATTACGTTAACTGCCGGTCCCCAAAGCTCTCTTAATACTACTTTCTGAGTGTCCGTTTCCCCAATTAACTCATAATACTGGTTCTTAACCATGTCTGTACATCTTCCACAAAACTTTAAACAATTTGGAAGCCCAGATGCAGACAGTTTTTCAAAACTTCCCAGGAGATTCTAATATGAGCCAGAGTTGAGAAATGTTGCCTTACAGGTGCCCAAGTTCATCAGTACAGCCTAGCTGTCAGCGTACTATTTGAAAGAGACCAGCCTCAATAAATGTTTTGGAAACTGAATCACTGTCAATTCTACGTCTATATATGGGATAGTGAGCCTTGACATGACTGTTTGATTAGGTGTCTCTGATTTTTAAGTTTCATTTCTTCTAGGGTAAAAGACTAGGTCAATCTGGGATTTGAACAGCACAGTTGGTCATTCGGGATCCAGTGCCTTAACCTCCACACCACCTGCTGGTCCTGCAGTTTTATTTTTAATGTATATTTTAAAATTAGGATAGAGGAGAAATAACCTTTATAGTGAACTGTAAACCAGAAAGGCTCCAGTTGAAATTCAGTTCCATCACTTAACATATATAGACAATCCCTTCAGCTCCCCTTAGCCTTAATCACATCAGTAACAGAGGGCAAAAGCCTCACAGGACTGCCTGCTGCAAGGCTTAGATGAGACGCTACATAGACCATCTGGGGCAACAGAAATTAATCAGATTAACTGGACTATCATCCCCAGTCTCCCAATAAAAATTAGTGTAGGACATTTTTCCTCCCTTTTAGACCTACCGCACTGTCTAGTAAGGACGTAAGGTTTAAGTAAGTCAGTTTTTTGTTTATTTTTCCCTTAAAGTTTATTTCTTCTGAGCATGCACAGGACAGAGAAACAGAGACAGACAGCACCCCAACAGGGCCTTGAGGATCCATCCCCAATCTTCAGGCAGCCCAGATCATGGGCACGTGTGCCTAGTATACTCAGTGAGGTCTTCTGACCCAAACCGAGAACCTTCTCCTGTGGGATTGTCTTACAGAACACTGCACCACCATCTGGCCCCAGTAAGTATTTAAAAATGACCGTTTCAAAGTAGCTGCCTACTTTGTAATGGAGCAATCTAATCTTAGATTTTGCTATTCTGAGGCTAAGGGGAAACTTTCTTTTTAATGCTCACATATACTTCAATATACTCAGGTGTAAAAAGAACTAATTTTTCTAAGATTTTAGAGGAGAAATAAAGTAATTATTGTAAAATCTCTTTCCAGTACAGAACACAACTATAAAAATAAAGCATAATCCCCATTTTCTGAACTATAGTTCAGACCTGAATTCCAATGAGCCATGTTTAAGAAGTGATCTCTTTAATGGCCTCACATTTATGAATTTTGGTCTAATTTGAGTTTAGAAGTTCATCTGACATCTCAACTTGATCAGAAAACTACTGCACCTGATAATGTGCACAAAAGAATAATCAACAATTATAGAAATGATTCTTATTCAAAAGTATGGAAATTTTAGCAAATGAGGAATATACTGCTGTTGGCTAGTGCAACCACAGTGTAAGACAACTTTCAAACAAAACCAGAATGGACAAGGGTAACCCTGAGATGAAAGCTGTGGGGAGGATACTTCCCTACAGACTTCACATAGTTGTACTCTACTTAACAAGGGCTCCTTTCCTTTTATGAATATTCCTCTTCAATTTCCTGAAGTTTGAAACTGCCTCCTCTATTTGAGTTAGCATGTCTCTTTATCCCTTTACTTTCACAAACACGTTTTTCCCAACAGGGTTGCACAAAGCTACCAGCCGTCAAATCTCTCCTTTAAAAATGTCCTCTACTGGGGCCAGTGGGTGGCGTACTGGTTAAGGTGCTGGTCGTGTGGCTGACCATAGTTTGAGTCTCAGACTCGGTGGCTTGAGAATCACATGGAGTGTGTTTGTGTATGCACCCAAAATCCACAGAGGAGAACGGAGGAGAAGGGATTGAGGGGTGGCCATTCCCCCAGGGGGCTGATTTCTTGCTTCCTGTCTCTCTGTTTCTCTCTGGCAGCATGCCCTATGGCAAAAAACTAAAAACAAAACAAAACAAACAAAAACCTTCTATTGCTCCCTTCAATAGCCTATCATCTTTTTTTTTTTTTTTGGAGAGGTTTTTGCTATAGGGCCCGTGCGCTCGCCAGACAGAGACAGAAAGCGAGAAATCACCCCCAGGAGGGATGGCCACGCAGCAATCCCTTCTCCTCCATTCTCCCCTCGGGACTTTGGGCACGCACACGCATGCGCCCGGTGTGAGTTTTAAGCCACCAGGTCCGGGACGCGAACCACGGTTGGTTACATGGGAGGCCAGTGACATGGCCATTACGCTAACTGCTGGTCCCAATAGCCTATCATCTTCTATTCTGGGACTTGGTTGACCTCTTTATTCCTATAATACTGTTTGTGCTTAGACTTGTTATGTAACTTTCAACAGTAGTGCAAAAATGATTAATGCCAAATTTTCATTATGTCTCATCCCTTTAATTAGCAATTTAAGGTACCTATATTTAGGAACATAATTCTACTCCTAATACAAAACCACAATTTAGATAATGATGAGAAAAAGTAACACTGCCAGCCTTCCAATACCAAGCGAAAACAAAACTAAAGGCAAGAGGGAGACCAGATGGGTTCTCTTTAACTTATCCTAAATAAGAAACCTGCATTTCCTCCTGAAAGACACAGCCACCCCAGGCAAATTTCCCTCTCACACTGCCATCAGCACCACAGTAACGAACCTCCACGGATGCACTGCACACTGCACCAAGCACTACCCAAATCACCCCACGTAATCCAGACCACAGCCCTAACAGATCAACGCTTTTGTTGCCTCTATTTTACAAGCAAAGAAACTCGGTCTTAGAGAAATGTTAAGCAAATTGTTCAATGTCATCACAGCTAGGACTGGAAGGAGGACCTAAACCCGGATATTCTGAATCTACCACACTAAAATACCTTTTGCCAAATAAGAAAACTGTTATGGACCATCTACTACGTTCTAAGGTTATTTTTGATGCTGAACATTGCTTTTTCCTTCCTTGCTTTTTCTTTTCTTTTTTCTTTAATTTGCCAGAGGGTGAGCTGGGGTTTGGGGGAAGAGAGAGAAAAAGAAGAGAGAAAATGAGAAAGAACTCCACCATGGTGAATGGTAGGTCATGCAGCAATCCCTCCTTCAATCCTCCCCTCAGAGTTTTGGGCAGATGTGCACACATGCCTAGTGTCTTCACTGAGGTGCCAGGTCTAGGACTTGAACCACAGAACCAGCTATGTGGGCGCCACCACCTGATAGCCTCATGCAGCTTTTTCAATCAGTATTGAGGTGCTTTTTTTTTTTTTTGAGAGATTTTCAATGTAGGGCGCGTGCGCTCGCCAGACAGACAGAGAGAGACATAGAGACAGAAAGCGAGAAATCACCCCCCAGGGGGGATGGTCACACCGCAATCCCTTCTCCTCCATTCTCCTCTCGGGATCTTGGGCACACACGCACATGCGCCTGGTGTGAGTTTTAAGCCACCGGGTCCGGGACACAAACCACGGTCGACTACGTGGGAGTCCAGCGACATAGCCATTACGCTAACTGCTGGTTCCCTGAGGTGCTTTTTATAGGGCATCTATGAAGACACAAAGATTGCAAGCTTCAGTGCTTAGCTGCTAGGTCTCCAAGGGAGATCTTTTTTAGTGCTCCCAACTGGAAATCATTCCACCAGAAAATGTTTGAGCGATACAGTACTTAGAACCCTGAAGAGAAACTTTTTTCAGTAAAAAAATGTACAAAGTACAGTCCCTTATTAACTGCCCATATTCTAACTTCTCACCTCAGGTACAATCTGCCGAAGGACTGGATCTGACCCTAATCAAGGTGTCTTTCACAACTCTGCATCAGAGCATATTTGTGCTTTCTTCTGAGACACAAAAGTTAAGGGAAACAAATGCTCAGTTTTAAATCTAATTCATATGAGGCTTTATTTTAAAGTAGTTTCATAAACATCTATGTGATAAGCACTTATTGCACAACACTGTTTTCAACCAGTATGGAACTGATAAGAAAAAAAAAAAAAGAGTAAAATGAAGACTCCACTCTCCAGTTGTTCTGTAACCTAGCGAACAATATACATACGTACAGAATAGTGGGAATAAGAAATATGGGCTTGCTTCTTTGAGATGGATCTTGGAGGATGAGACAGAGGCTAACAACACCAAGAGATGTGTATGTACAGGAAGACAACTGCAAGCAGAGATCCTGCGTTCAGGCCAGGAGCTGAGAGATGATGGGTATGCTAGACTTACGACTACGAGATCAGTATGGATGGACTTGGGCATGTGGAAGGTGCCAAGGGGCGTACGGATGCAATGGGAGATGAGGTTGTCGGGGAGACATTGTTCAGTGTCATCACAGCTAGGACTGGAAGGAGGATCTAAACCCAGCATTGGTGGAATGTTTGACAAAAATCGAAGAAATGTAACAAACATCTGTCAAACCACACACTACAAAGATAAAACGATGAACAAAGTTTTTACAAATAAAGAGCTCTATTCTACTTAAAGATTAGCTTTTGACTATTGGAATTCAGTTAAATTTTAACTAGGTTGGCTGGCCCTGTAGGACAGTGGTTAAGTACAGTGTATCAGAAGCCACTCCCACATAGTACGCTGCAGTTCAAATCCTGGCCCTGGAAGCTTGAAAAACAGCTTTGGAGAACGAGAGGGGAAAAAGGATTACAGTGTGATCACGCCCCTCTGAGGGTGCTTTTTCTTTCCCTCTGTTTCTAACAACTGCACATGCCCTCACAATTAAAGGCAGAAAATTTTAACATGCTTAAAACTTATAAACAGTATCTGTTTTAAACATAACGCTTTTTATTTTTTAAAAAAGAATTATTTTATTTACCTCTATTTATTTTAATTTGGCTAGAGAGGGACAGAATGAGAACGAGAGGGTGCAGAAAAGTGAGAAAGCAAGCTGCCAGGTCTAGGACTCAAATCGCAGTCAGCTATGTGGGAGCGCAGTGCCCTTAATCACCATACCACCTGCCGGCCCCTTAAATGTAATACTTTTTCTAAGAATAAGGGAAAAAAATTCCTTTGAGAGCAGAAAAATAGAGGAAATTCTTTTTTTCCCTTCTTTGTCTTTGAAGTTAGTTAATAATAGCTCTATTTAAGGCAGCCCAATCTGGTAGGCCCTTTTGAAGTCTTCAAGGAGGAGATACAAACTTCAATTTAAGTGTCACTGATCATGACCTGATACTTGCTTTGCTTACAAATCATGTACCATTTTAAATTGAACTATCCAGTTGCTGAAAGAAAATACTCAGGAAGGACAGCAAATTGTTCTATTTATTTCAGTTATTAGTTCTTTAAAAAAAAATATCTGGAGTTCTCTACAGGGAGAACAGAGCCACACTGCAACCAAAAGACTTAGAATTAGCCATGATTCCAAGGTCTCCAGAGACAAATGACAGCCCTCCCCAGACCACTAGATTTCTCTTCAAGGCCGGCCCTCCTACTCCAGTTTGGAGTCACAGAGTATGGCTATGTTCCTGTTACACAATCAGCAAATATTTGCTGGGACTGGCACCCTGATTTACTTCTATGCCCTCCACCCTAAAAATATTTCGCTCACTCCGGAAAGCCTTCTGGTAAGACAGGGCACATGCTTATGATAACACAACCACCTCTACCCAGGGCACATGACAAGGCAGATCAGTTTCCAATTATCAACACGGGCCCTCACGTGCTTCTGTCGACAACAGTGCAGAACTGCAATCAGGGCAGTTCACATGAAACCTGCCGTCAGCGGCTCACCAGCCCGATCGCTGCTGCTAAGGGGCTGCACCTCGGTTTCAGTGGTTTCGGGTTCCCAGGAGATCGTTTTCAAACAGGTAATGAAGAACGGGTCGGGTCCTTGGTGCAGTGAGCCGTGGGACAGGAGCGATGACCCGAGGCTGGGTAAAAGTCAGTAGAACACTGCCAGACTCCCAACTGGAACTTCACCCAGCATTCGCAGTGACTCTCAGCCCCCGCTCCAGTGTCCTTGAAAATGAAGGAGCGCTGCGACACCGACCTGGACACGGAGTGACTACATCCTGCCAGGGACTCGGTACGTGCCGCCTCGTTCTTGTCTTCGTCCTCCGACCTGCTATGCAGGCCTACCGAGCGGCCGCTCCAAGGAGGGGACCAAGCACGAGGACCTTACGGCTAACGTGGGAGGGGGAGACGAGGGGGTGAGGAACACCAGGCCCCGGGTTTTACCCTCTGTAGAGCGTTCGAGAAGAGGGGCTGACTGCTTTATTTTGGTTTCGTGGTGGCACGCGGGGGTAACTCTTTCTCCATTTATACATGTTTTTCTGCTGCAAAAAGTCAATGTGGGAACTGACCGACCACACACCTCCGGAGTTAAAGGCATCTCTAAAGCGCAATACACGCGCCACAAATACGGTACAGGTGAGACTTATCTGGGAAAATCGATCCGCAGGAGCCTGGCGGCGGGTGCGTGCAGGCTAAGCAGCACCGCAGCCGCGCTCCCGGAGCACCCGCGCTCCCGGACACGGAGAACCACCGCGAGGCCAGCCTGCTTTCCTGCCCGGGGTGGGACACAAGGGGCACGGAGACAGGGCGCCCGAGGGCAAACCAGGGCGACAGACTGCTGCCCTCCCGGACCTTCTGCGACTGCGCACCTCATCCGGTCACAGGTGACCGGGCTGGGCACCGGAGCACCGGGCGCAGGGGCCGCAAAGGGCCGGGCTGCCTCCAGCTACCGGGTGCTGCCCACCCGCACGGCGCAGCGCAGACTGCGGGCCTTCTCCCTGGGACAACGCCCCCGGCCCGCCCGGGCCCGCGCCCTCTCACCTCGCGCTCGGTCAGGTTCTTGTCGGGCCCCAGCAAGAAGGGCGTCAGGAAGGGCTCCGATGGCCTGAGGCTGGCCAGGAAGCCATAGGCGCACAGCAGC